AGTCGCGGGATTCGGTGTGCTGGCATGCGCAACACATAGTCCACCCATCGGAGCCTGGTGCGTGATATAACGGTGCTGAGCGGTTCACTCGCTCTTCCTGCACCAAATACACGATGGCGACCACGCTCATTGCTCACGCCGTGCTCCCACCAGACATGAGCTAGGCTGCGAAGACAGCGATGGTCGAATGTGACTAGCCTCTTTATGTCGGTCGACTTGATGGGCCAGGTTTCGCAACCATACAGTAGGGTTGAATGCACGGCTGCATTGTAAACTCTGCCTTTCACTACTACAGTGATGTCGCGTCTGCGCCACATGTGGCGGAGATTGGCTGGAGCACTTCGAGCTTTTACTATACGTTTCGTAACCTCACCTTTGATCCCACATGTGCTAATATAGCCGCCCAGGTGCGTGAATTCCTGAACGCCTTCCAGCTGATCCCCATCAAGGATCAGCGCCTTGGTGGCTCCCTGCCAATCTTGGAGAAGGATTTCACTTTGCATTTCGATGGCGCAAAGCATAGCACCCATCCGGGTACATAAAGCTTAACTTGATTTGACTTGACTACTCTTAGGTTTCATAATATCGTCAAGGTTCACTACGAGTTGAATGAATGACCGATGGTGGTAAACTATGCACATAGGAGGTCATTTGAATGTAGACATGTTTTCTTGACCGACCTCTACGTCATGCACGTATAAGATTTCTCTTTTGAGTGGGCGTAGATATCTTATTGTACTGCCGCCGGAAACGCAGTGGATCTAGTTGCCTGGACTCATGTCGCTATGAAATAACTAAAAAGATCTGAAAATCAATGGACATAGAAAATGGTCAGTTCAGCTGAACTAGACTCATTCAACACCTATCAAACCCGATTCTCAAGTCAGAAAATGAAACAGTTTCCAGTAAACTGCTGCTTTTCTTGGTTTCCATCACCAGTAGGACATGGTCTGAACTCACGCACTTCATGTCAATCTAGTTCGTAATCCATCTCCATCCACCTAATTCATCTGTTTTAGAGCGACCGCTTAATCTTTCAACACTGGACAGGTCGATTGTTAAGGAGTCAGCTAAACTCGGACTCAGTATCCTCTCAATTTAGAGTTGGGGTCAGGTCGATACTCTTAGATTTACTATCACCGGCTTCAAACCAGATAGTCACTGAGGTCACTGAGGAACAAACACACCACAGCTTATCTACGACAGGTTGAAAGAATTGATTTGTGGGAAACTATTGCGATAAAAAGAACATGCGCAACTAAAGACATTCATAGAAGCGGCCTCAAGCAGATTGAGCTTTGCGGTTACGCTTCCTTGTTAAATTGAAGCATGCAAGATGGTTCCGTTCGGAGGCTAGTTTCACTGAATCCGAACACACTCAAATGGCACTTTACCAGAAAACTTAGGAGTGACTGGGAAAGTTCTCGTTTCAGTACAGTTCACTTGAACAACTATAATACGAGCACCGAAGTGTGGTGGATCCAGTCACCACGACTTACATCGTACGAATAACAATAAATAACAACGGCAAGAGATTAAGACTGAATTCAAATAGAACACCAAGAAAATATAATCGAGGAGGTGCGTTAAACTAACCAGGATGGAGTGAACATTAACAACTATCTACGGGAAGCGGGACGCAGGAACGACATTGTTCGCGCTACTGAGCATGTCTGACAGACTTTCCAGCCATTGCTGTGGAGCATTTTAGGGTCGCCATCCACGAAGATGGCATGCACCAGTCCGACTACATTTCTCGGTCAGTTTTTTTCATTCATATATGCCACCTCGCGGTTCCGCCCAACTTGGTGCAGCCACGGCGTATGATGCACTCCGGGAAAGCCGGTGAACGAGCATACCGAGATCATAATCTAGCTAGCGTAAACAATTGAGCTTAAGCAAACACTCTAGTGAGGCACCGGAAGGGTGTCATGCCCAAAACTAACGGGAGAACTTAGCATTCCATACCCGGTGTTCCCACAAAATGTGTGCAATATTCCGCAAGCACTGGTGGTCAAATATTGCCAAGCTTTTATTGTATTCACTGTGAACTGACAAGGTCTCTGCTTCAAATAGTAACACCGATTTTGCCGCAGCGTTGTACACTCTACATTTCATTGACATGGTGATACCCTTCCCTCTCCACAGACGGTAAAGCTTTTGGAAAGCCACTTGGGTCTTGCTGATACGTGAAGTAACCTCCTCAGTGATGTGACCACCAGAGGTGACACAGCTACCAAGTTAGCCGATCCACCACTTCTAGTGGCTCTTCGGTGGTAGCTAGAAGCGGTGATGCATCGGTCCAGTCGTGTAACAATATTTCGCACTCTGAAGGTGCAAAACACATGCCGACTCCTGCAGCTCTACGAGTCAGTCTATCTAGTCGTGTTTTCATGGCCAAGATCCAAGGGGAGCTATGTCGTCCGTATACTCCATGTTTGTCAGTTAGTTACCCGGTAGAACTTCCACTTCGGAAGAATTTAAAAGAACAGAATCATTCATGATCATATTGCTCACAATGTTGAAGAAAAAATGAGATATAGGATAATCCTAGTGAAACCCGCTTGTCGTGGGGAACTCAGGAGAGAGCTTCCCGTTGACCCATACCCGGCCTCATCATTCACGGTAGGGAACCTTCAACATTGAAAGGAGTTTAGCTGGTACCCTTTCATGGATAAGTAGTGTCACAAGCTGGCAGTTTTTGAGTCAAGGGAAAACACAGTCGGTCGTCTGTAAGTGTTTCTCCGCCCTAACACTTGACGAAGAGTAACTATGTGGCCAATGTAACCACGACCAAGGCGAAAGTCAGCATGCTATTCAGGGAAAGTTGTCCAATGGTGAAAGCTCGTTCAAGTTTAGAAGACCAGCGCTATTGGTAACACCGATTCTAGTTCGCACTAGTCCGATGCAAGAATCCAAAATACGCTTCAGTGAATTGGGTAAGTAGGCCATTAATCCAACCTATCATGTTGGTTATAAGATGATCCATCCTTAGCTGCTGGTAACGGAGCGAACCAGACAGCTGGCTTTAATGCTTTGAAGACTCCTTAAAATGTGGTCACACTGTTTTATCCGGCATCCTCAGAGGTTATCAGCTGCCATTGTCGTCATCAAGCGAGGTTTCGCAAAGCTCATCGTGATCTTGAACTCATCGCTGTTAAGTCCTGACCCTTCAGAAACGAGAGCGCAGCGGGTCACTGTTCCTCCTCAAATTCGAGTCATTAAAGGAAATGCTGACTTCCGTCCCGGCAGGAACTTGATTGATACCATTTCAACGCCCCCCAAGATGCTTGAACGGCATTCTGCACGCAAGTCTCCTTTCGTGCTAGCCTTCCCCATTTGTATACCCTCCTTGAAAGTTGTGACGTTGCAAGTTTTATTTGTTTTCAACTTTCTCTATTGTGACCGCATAACCGTCAACAAGGAGCCAGCAGTTGTGCTCATCATGGCGAGTAGAATGCAACGGGACTATTCTACTTCTCCATTTCCTCTAAACTTTGCTGTCGGAAAGTGAGCGAATGACTTCACTTGCTCTCTTCCACTTCTTCTGGAGTGGAAGCTCTTTTGTGAAACTGCTGCCAACACAGATATCTTTAGGTCAGAACTATAGCCGCTTAGTTTTGCGTAGAGCCCTACACACTTTGGCATGTGCTTCTCGTTTTAACGTTGCGCAGTACCTCTGCAGTACGAGGATGACAGCACGACAGTTCTTACCCGAGGAATCTCAACCGTTTCATTTACCCAAACGAATGTTGCATCAACTAAAGTTGTGTTCCCAAAAAGTACCGAATGCGTTAGTAAGACTTGTGTGGCTTTCCGAGACCTTATTCATTTACGGAGACGGTGGCACATCAATCTAACTGTCTAAGATGTGTTTCTAATCACTGCACTTTGACCATCGTTTATACGTGGATGGCAAACATGTCCATTGTGTGTTGAATACATTAGGAGGCTTGTTGTATTTTCCAATCTGTTCCCAAGAGCGATTGCACACATCTGGTGGGAGAATCCTGTAGTTAGCACGAAGGTTCGTGAATCGGCACTCCTCTTAGTAGAACTGGCTATAACGGTTCCGTCAGGTTTTATGCTCCATGTTAACCCACTATCTCTGCATTCTTTGGATTATTGTTCTTCGTTTAGTGAAACCCTGTAGTGACCGTTGGATAACATGGTAACACGCATTAAGGAGCTTATCATAAACTATGTTGGCTCTAACCTCAGCGTTTCTCTGCGCCAGGCTTCGGTGACGACAAATCTGTGTGTATACATTTTATCAGACATGGTACAATCATAGAACCATTTGTGTTGCGGGGACGTGAAGCAATTCCGCAAAAATACACGCAAACGACAGAGTCCATTACTCTCATGAGCAGTCAAGCGGTTACGCCGCGTGACACTCGCAGCATGACTACAGGATTCCAAAACTACAACACCCTAGGTTCGCGTGAGCAACTTCGCACCAAAACGCGTGCCCGACGTAGTGAATCATCTGTGTCATGAATAAAGTTGCCCGACTTGTATAGCCTTTTGCTGGGTCAGTAAACGCGCTCGTGCAAGAAGCCTGTCTTTCTTTGTCTGGACCGTGGTGTCATCATTGGTTCACGTTCGTCTCACGTGGCTGCGTCACTCAATTGACAAGGTTTTAGTTCATCGTCTATACAGCAGCTGGCTTTGCGGGGGCGTAATTGGTGCGAATTGCGTACTCGTTTACTCGACGCATGAGAACGGCACTAAACGAACGTCATTGGGTTCGTCCGACGAAAGAGGTCTATAGTACCTTGCTTCACACTCCTCACTCCCAAATCCCCTTATCTGTCGAATTTTACTGCTTATCTATTTATATTTACCCCCTTTTTCCCTTATTTTACTGGCCTTTTGTTCTGCACCTTTTTGCTAAAGTGAGCCAATCCAACTGCGTCCACTTTACTTCGATGGGCTGATCACATTTACTCCACTGAACTGTTTTGCCCTTTTTTGTGCTGAATCCTAAGCAGTACATAATGTGCACCCCTCTTTGCATGCAGCGTCTGCTGGCTCGTTTGGATGACCGGCTGTCGGAAATACAGGACACGATGGCAGGCGCGCCTAAAATGGATTCAGGTACTGCGAGAGAACGTGACGTGGACGAGCACTTGTCTCTAATGTCAAACTCGTCAGTGGATCATATGCTAAAAGTTGGAAGTCGCTCGTCACCTTCGAGGTTGACTGTCCCGTCAACCAACTACCGCAGTGGTGCGTTTGCGCTAATTTTGTTTCGCTTTGGGGTTCGATAACACCTCTACACTACGGTTCTCGTTGTCCCAATCCGATGGTAACGTGTTTGCGTATTGATCCTATCTTGCCCCACCATGACAGCTGAAAATAACGTTGACCCAATGCACCTCATTTTTGGATGCGTCCATACCATCCACTCATCCGTCCGCCTCACGCTAGACCGTCTCAAGGGGCTTGGCCTCTCAGGTAGGCCTCTCAGACATCAGCAGTATGCAGTACCGAAGGTACGCTTTCGCTCAACCACCACCAGTTGCACGCAGGTCTAAGGATACTGCGAGGTCACCCGCAAACTCGAACCCGCTCCCTCGGACTACAAGGCAGGTTTGTGATCCTTAAGGCTACAGTCTGGCCTCTCACAGACTAGCACTACTGAGCGGCTTGTGTGGCTTACTCCCATACTCATGGCGAGGTTGACACAATTCACCGGTAGTTCGTTACAGTGGGATTCCTGCGCCTCACTGTCTTCATCGCTCCAAGAAAGAATGACAGCAGCTCCTTCAAACATTGTCGTTTATTTGGTACGTCGTCATTAGATTGCAAGCCACAAAGGTCAACCATCAATCCGAGAAAGCGCCAGTCGATCCTTTCGCCCTTTGCGGGCCTGTCAGTGGTGCGCACTTCTTCTGTCCACCGCAGGGGATCAAACCCATGGCCTCTAGTGGTCTGCATCACTAGCCAGCAGCTTATGCTTATATCGGCTATCGTCCCCCATGGCTCAGTGGCACAAGCTGCTGGCTAGTGGTGCAGACCACTAGACGTCATGGGTTCGGTCCCCTGCAGAGGGCTGAAGGAATACTCACCGTTAACAAGCTCCAATGGAGCGAAACGATCATCTGGGACTTTTCCGAAATGGTGCTTGACCTTGGTCGTCGGTAGTCTAATGTGGATGAACCAAATAGTTCTTACAAAATCCGTCTATTCATAAGTGCTCAAAAGTGTATCGTTTCTCTTTCGAAGTCAACTACACCATGTTCATAGGTGTGTTTTCGAGTCACAGGCTCAATTGTTGTTGTGTTCACCGAGCTGGGCAATCAAGTTGCTCAGCTAGGCGAACACCAACAAAACTGAACAAGCCCCGCGAGGTACCAGTATTCCAAGTAATTTCGAGTCACAAACTCTTACGCAAGATCAGGCCCGTACGCTCTATCGTCATTCCACATAATTTCGACCCACTGGATGGAATAAGTAAACAACTGCAATTCGTTCCACTTATCTCCTCTTCCTCTCACTGTAGCCTTTACCCCCGATAGAACGGACTCAAGTTCCCGTGCTTTTCTCGGTCTTTTAGTTGTATCTGACATACCGTTGTGGAGACCTAGACATCCCTGGGATAGTAACCATCAAAGTATTTACGCATTGCATTCCCTCTTCACCAACCCGCGATGGGCAGGGGTGACTAAGCTCAACACTAAATTGGACCACAATCGCATGCTTCCTCGCCCAGCGACCAGGCTCCTAACTGCAGCTGCTACCCGCTTTCGAAGGAAAACCAATAGTTTAACCAAGATGTCAGGGAATGTGTGTGTGCTCAGGCAAAATGCTATCTTAGGTGCCACCAGAGAATATACACCCTTTCACGGGCGCTTGCGACATTTTCTCAGTATTACCATGTCGTGAAACTAGTGCATAGACCATTGGCTTTAAAAACGTGGGTAAACTCCAGTAGTTTACCCTAACTTCCTTGGCGCCATATGCGTTGCACGCTTGGTGATACATACGATTGGGATTTTGAGCGAGTCTAATCTATGTCGGTGAACCACAGGGTTTACTTTGAAATTCAAACCACCTCCTATCACTCCCACTACAAGTAGAATTTGCCCGTCCGGTTAGATACAGTTGGCAAATAAAAGTCTATCAGTTACCGTTAATCATCGACGCTAAACCTTACAGTTCAGTGTGTATTTCTGTTGAGGTTCTATTTCCAAGAGCGCTCACCTTACTCATGGAGGAGGGTAAGACATGCGCGGTTTGGAGTCGCACATAGAGCATGTCTCCAGATTGCTAGTGAAACACCAAACTCGAGCAGATGGAAACGGTACGTCTCCCATGCAAACACAAATTGCACTTTACCTGCAGTTTTGTGAACAGCAAGTTAATGACGATGGTTTGTCAAAAGTGCTCCTACAATTGGAGGACCTCCAGTCTACGAGTAGGACATTTAATCTCACTCGTAAATCTTGTGCTAAACGCTGTGTGTAGTGCCGTCCTTAAAGGATTCAGCCCACATCGATGACAAGAACATCAAAACGGGTATGGAGAAGGTTCTATTCATCGGAATATGGCACCGTTATATAGCAGAGGAGCAGCAGTTAAGACCAATTAAGTCACTGAAAATATCGTACTAAGTCAACCAATAGGATAGCAGTCACACAGAACACCGATCAGTCTCGCCCCAAAAGTGTCCATCTCAGCGGTGAAACTGTGGGAAGCCACCAAAATCAACGAACGTTAACGACCAGTAAGGTCGTCAAAAGCATGCGTCAAAATAAACGTCAAGTGATGTATGCAGTAAAAATAAAGCTTGCTGCTGTCACACAGACTGTATCTCAGTTGAGCATGTCCCATAAGACTGCGTACATGGGTACTTGGAACGAGCCTGAAATCTTTCGCATACGTGGACTACCAGGAAGAGGAGCCAACTGTCACAACCGTCTGGGAAAAATATTCACCATAGCTCTGTGAGGCCGAGTTTGAGAGGGTGATTACCGATAAGACAGTATTGAATTCATACTAGTGGCTGTGTGAATGGAAGGGACAGAATATAGTGCCCGAGCATTTGGCATAACGTGCCCAAGTGATTAACATGGCATCCGTCGATGGACGTGCGTTTATTGCTTAACATATATCGCCTCCATCAAATTCGTACTCGTGAACCTGGTGTGTGATGTGCAACCTGGAATCTCTCTCCACCGACCACGTGATAATCACAATTACTTGTCGCTCCAGTGTTCGATGCTGTCACCACATCTTACGATATCACATCCGACTTGCACGGATTCTCATCGCTAGACAAACACCTGCTGTTGGCATGGCGTTATCTTCTCCTGCCAAATATCTCTCCCGATTATTCACTAGCTCTTCTGATGTTGTAGATTTCCTACTTTTCTAGTATGTGTAACGCCATTTACCCCTTTTACACTACCTTGATTTACCCAACTGAATAATTAATATTCGACTGGTTGGCTAATGGCCCATAGCTATGAAACAGGGGTAATGGAATTGTTATGGATACCCGGTTGCCTATCGCTCATGCAATTTACAGATATCTGTTTACTTCAGTATTTTTTCATAAGCCTTCCCAATTCATCTAGACGCCCTTTCCGCTGTTGACGAAAACTAGTCGTCTAACCTTTCACACCGGCCCAGTTAGATTGGGAATCGGCAACCCCTTTACATCGCAACACCTTACATTTTTCTTTATCAGGCAGGTACGTCTTTCAAGCGCATAGACAGGTTTTTCGACCTACGACGGTTTTGTTTTCATTATAGACCGAAAGGTGTTATGCAAGCCGAACGTGATACCACTTCCTAAATCTTCGGTACGCGGTTTCGCTCGTTCCACCAAGCTTGTCAAAACTACAGATGCTCCGGACAAGTCACACTCTCCTCTTCGAAACGAAGCTACTTGCCAATGTGATGGTGACCCAGCCCTGACAGAACTCGCTGCTCAGATATCATCTGACCAAGCGGTACTCAATGCCAAACTTGTTGAAATGGACGAACGAAAGTGTGTGAACTTGGTTTTCGGTTACATATAGCACGACCTACATCGACTTTTAATCTGCCATCCTATATCTCGCTTGTTTCCATGCTAACCTAACGGTCCTGCGAGTAGGACCAAGGAAACACGTTTCTTTCTACTTTACAGGGCGCTAACCAAGTGCACCGCGTTTGGCCATCGAAACGTACCTGTGACGAGGCTTGTGCTTCCGCGCCCCTGCTTCGCACTTCACCGCTATTCCCCTTGCTTGCGTAATTGTCTCGCTGGCTCTTCACCGAGTATTTAGTCCTAAGGTGCTCTAAATACCAGTTTAATCGAGCCACGTTAATAACGTCAATGGTAATCGCCCGCCTTCTCGCCGAATAAACTGGTAAGACAAGTGACATAAAGATTGTAAGTGAATCAAATGTCAGAGTAGGTTGTAGGTTCCAGTATTAAAGGTGTACAAAGTGTAATCGGGTGTGATACAAAACGCCTGAAAATGGACACACGATCTGCAGCACGACCGTGGAACGTCAACTAACCGAAGGGAATTGCTGAAGCACTAAAACGGGTAGATTACTTTGCCAAAAAATTATATATAGAATAGGCAGTGATTGATTTTTAAGAGTATTTTCCATTTTATTCTTGGCAACGGATTGCGTAGTCGTTTCAAAACCCCACGTTATTTCTACATTGTTCCACAGTTATGTTTGTATTCCCAGGATTCTTTGTTATTTCATCGCATTTGTATGACTCAGGCACCCTAGTTAGTAAGTATACGCACCTTCACCCGTCCCTCAGCAGAGCCTAGTCCAATCGGCTAGTTCCACTTAGGAGTAGTGTTACCCATAACTGTTAATCTGATTTGACAGGGGCTTAATAGGAAGTCAACAGGTTACTAAATTTGGTACGTGTGAACCACTCTTTGGTTGGTATCCTAGTTCGCACTTTTCTAACGAGGACATTCAGCCTGTTAACGTCCTAATGGAGCATCACAGCTTCCTTTATTTGCCTGCTGATATGCCTCCACTCCGCCAACTCCTGTGTACCCAGTGCTTCTTTTAATATTTGCCGTGTGGACTCCCACCACGTGTGATCAAATCACGAGGGTGATCCTTAGGTTAATGGGACTGAATGCTTTATCATCACTCCTTCCCTCTCTTTTGCTTCCAGGTAATGTGTCATATTTAAGCCGTACTCGAGTCTGTGTAGGGGGTCCATCGCGACGAGACTGGACCTCAACATGATGCAATGGTTTGCATGCCTCGGCGACCCACTGAGCTGGGAGTTGCTTTTTTGCACCTTCAGAGCCACTCATACCAGATTGTTTAGTGGTTAGAGGCCAGACAAACAGAGTCTCCTGGTCCTCCAGTGTGGGGGTTGGACTGAGGGTGGCTCTTTACTCTATAAAACAGGCTCTCTGTAGACCAGTGCCACCACCCCGCTGCCTTGCGGTAAGCTTTTTGAACTAAAGGCTTTGGTTGAGAACCCTAATCTTTCTCCTGTCTAGGCATGGGCAATCGGACAGCATTCCGCTCGCGCAGTACAACTCTATGAACTACTCTCCACACGATTTCTTGATGCTCTGGCCGTCCCAGAGGATAATAAATGACGCTCTATCTTCTGCATCGAGCAGGGTGGATAGGGGTAAGGATGCTACTGCTCAAGCCTTCCCGTCTTCTTATCCCTCCTTTTGCGCATTTTCCTCCTTATCGTCCCACCCCAATTTCATTTGTACCCCCCTTGTTCTCAACCCCACAATTCCCGCCCCTCCTTCTCCTTGCTTCTATAGTCGCTTCTCTTTTAGTTTCGACTCAGATGCAATCGTAGAGCGTCGCTCCAGCCCCGTCGACAAGTCCATGTTAAACCAGATGAACAACGTCGGTTCATCCGGTACTCTTTGAAGTCCCCGATCCTCGCTAAGACTGGCATGCCTCAACGTGCGCACTTTGTTGCACATTGGCCAACAGACAGCACTTGCCCGAATACTAGAGACCCTATCGATCGACATCTGCTGCTTATCGAAAACCCGCTTGCAAGATGCGAGTTCTATGATTACCCTGCGATCTCCCACAAGCGACACTGGCGTCTCGTTCTCACTGTGTTTGTCTGAACATAACACAGTTTCAAATGCCGATCAAGCCGGTGTGGGCATTGTTCTGAGTAACCGGCATGAAGCTACTTGGTTGAGTGGATCCTACTGAACAGCCGGATGTGCGACGTCAGATTGGCTGGCTACTTCGGAGCTTCGGAGTCGCGCGTGAACAAACGGTGTCTGTTTGTCATTGCGGCTTACTCGCCCACAAAGTGTAGCGCTGATTCTGTGAAAGATGAATTCTATCATCAAACGAACGAACTCCTTCGTAACAGGAAGACTACAGATATTATGATCCCGGCTGGCGTTCTAAATACCCAAGTCAGGAAATTGTGCACTGGTGAGCTTCATTCGGACGATCAACACGGCGTATGTTCTCCTAATGATAACGACGAGCGGTTGCTACACTTGTGTGAAGATGTTCGTCTATTTCTCGCGAGTACCAACTTTCGACACAGCACGCGCAGAAGGGTGACATGGCGCCCACCGCCACAAACGAGTCTTGGACACAAATCGACCATATCGTAATCAGTTACTGGTGAAGCCATATGTCCTGAATGCATATCGAACTACGCTGGCATCCGGGCGGAGTAAACGTTCTCCACTGATTGCATATTCACCCTACGTTATTAGCAGCGGGCATGTCTTCATGTGGCTAATCAAGTTACCAAGCTGGACATTGGGTCACTATGTCGTCTCTGGAACCTATGGATGCTCGCTAACACATTCCGGCGGGAAGCAAACACAACGAAACCCGCAAAAACCTCAGCCCAATGCTACGTGCTGGCCTGATGAGAGGCGGCGAAGCGGGTTGTTCTCATCGTGCATCGGAGATGGAAATGTCCGCTGCCCTTTCTAATTATCGGGAGTTATTCCTGTTGATACGTCATACGGTCAGGAGGATGCCTGGTGTTAGCGAGACCATACGTGATGATGGCAAATGGCCGGTCCACAGTTTGGCGAAATACTTGGAGCGTTGGGCCAATCACTATGAAAAGCAGCTTAATTGACGAGAATTACCAGCTTCTTCGATCATTGACCGTCTTACTCCCTGGGCCGTCCCCATGTACCCACTTTCACGCACAGAAGTCCAACGTGAGATCAGACTGTTGAAAGTAAGTAAAACCGCAGGAGCGTATAGTATTCCTCCATCTCTCTTCAAATTCGGGAGACCTGCTCTTGTAGATTATCTGCACAACTTACTCGCGAGGCTGTTGGAGCATGAAACTGTTTCAGCAGACTGGAGCTGCGCGATAATAGTTCCAATTTTTAAGACTGGCTCACGTTCTGAATGCGACAATCATATAGGGATCAGTCTGAGCCCAGTTGCCTCTAATCTACTCGCCTCTGTCCTTCTTCTTAGACTTACTGACACACGTGAAAGCCAGATTCGCCAGCAGCAAGCCGGGTTTCGTCGAAATCGCGGCTCTATTGGTCACATCTTCGCGCCATATCATTTGTTGGTGCCCCGCCATATTTATCGGCGAACCACCGTAGTCGTTTTCCTCGACATCAAAAGTGCCTTCGCTTCGCTTGATCGAGGTCCCCTTTGGGACTGTCTACGGAGGAAAGGTGTGCCCGAGAAATATATAAACATTACCAGAGCGCTTGACTCACATATTTCAGGCATAGTGATGGCTTACGGCAAACTGTTGCCGCCCTTCCATATCCCTAGCAATGTGTGACAAGGATGTCCGCCGTCACTTTTCCTTTTTAACTTCTCCATAGACGAAGTCATGGTGACTGCCTTCACTGGACACGACCTGCAAGACGTGGAGCTACTCCGAGATGAACGGCTTCTTGACTTGGAGTACGCCGACGACATTGCCCTTATTTATGACAGCTTTCAAACGTGCCAAGTAGCACTGGACAACTTAGCGCTGGCTGTCAGTCGTTTAGGATTATGCTTTGTACGCTCGAAGTGCAAACTCCAAGGTTGGCAGGAACCCATTCATACATTGACCTTCGGTGAGGATCAGCTAGAAGTCGTAGAGCAATTCAACTATCTAGGCAGTTATATCAGCTCCAATGGAATGGAAGATGCGATCACAAACCGCATAGCAAAAGCTCGAGGCACTTCTGCCAATCTCCGCCACCTGTGGCACCGGCGCGATATCACTCTCGCCCTGAAGAGCAGAGTTTACAATGCAGCCGTGCATTCAACCCTACTGTATAGCTGCGAAACTTGGCCCATCAAGTCGATAGACATAAAGAGGCTAGTCAAGTTCGCTCATCGCTGCTTTTGCAGCTTAGCTCATGTCTGGTGGTAGCACCGCGTGGGCAATTAGCCTGGTCGGCGTCGTGTATTTGGTGCAGGAAGAGCGAGTGGACCGCTCGAAACTATTATTTCGCGCGCCAGACTCCGATTACTGGATCACATGTTGCGTATGCTAGCACACTGACACCCGCGACATGCATCGTTTGCGAGCCGGGGGTGTAGATGGAACAAGAGGAGGGGTTGCAAGGTGTTGACTTAGTCAAGAGAAATGAAATCCATCACTTCGAAGTTGGCGTCGGTTGGTGTGTCCTTCTCCCTGGCTATCGTCCTTCGGACGATGAACACGTTCGGTTGGAAACACTAGTTGATCTAACAAGGAGCTGAACTCAATGGCATTTGTGTTTTCAGTTTCTTTATCCCTTCCTATCTCATGTATCTTCCCCCTCCAACCACGATCTCTATCTTGACGCACATTATGTTGCTTTTTTGCATTCTGTAGTTTTTAGTATCTTGCTATCTTATGTCTTATCTTCATGTATTGCAATACAATAGTCTAAGTGTGTTTCCCATCTTTAGCTACTGCGTAATGATGATGAAATCTGTGTAGGAGGCAACTCAGTGACGAACGTAGCAGGATGCCGAAGGAGCAAAGCTCCAACTTATTTTTGGCTGTAACTAATACATTTAATCTTAATTGCCTTGTTTTGAGCAAGACTGAGCAATTACCTGTTATCCGAGCTCCTCGAATAGGCGTGCCTTTGCAGAATTCTGGGACGTTTTAAGAACTCGCTTAAGCCCAACAATGCAGGCTTTCATCGATTACTGAAGCAGATATTTTCACTATTTCGTCTACACGCTTTGTAGTTGTCTCTCGCTATTTGTCAGCGTGCCGTATACGTTAATACAAATAATTCCTTGACTCTCCACTCTTTTTCTGTTTATCTTATCACGGAACGGAAGAGTTTCGGGAGACCTGGAACTGAAGTCCCTGGCGATGGAGCTACGCGACCTGCAAATCGAGCTACGGTCCCAACTAACGGTGAGGATGTTAATTTTTGCTTGCTGAAACATTTGTTAGTGGATGATTATCTCATTCCTGTTTTTATGGCGGCCAAATGCGCGATCCCTGTTTTCGGTTGCCCACTTGGCAACATCTGTTTCCAAACTTACTTATCATTATTGTTGTGATCAGCCACTACACGTCTGTACCTATAGGGTGGTCATGAGCGGCTTGCACCACTCCACCCACACAAGTCTCCGCTCGCATCTCATATCCATCACAAAATCGGAATCAAGCAACATGGCGGTTAGCGGATGCGGGCGACGATTGACTCGGAACCCGCTAGCCATTATCAATCAACTTCGACCGCGCCACGGAGAAACCTCTACGCCAGCCAGCCTTCCTGTGCGCCTGCCGCTGCACATCTTGTTGGACACCTTTGGATTGACTACACAACGAGAGTCCACGGTCAAAGCCGCTCAATCGCCGCCGCGTCTGGGAACCCGCCTTGCCCATGAACAGGAAGAATCCGGAGGTCGCCGAAATTTTTTCAGGTCAATCCTCGTCAGAAGCGGTACGCTTTCTCTTCAAAGTAAGGTGTTGCAGCCCGTCAAATATCCCCGCAAAAACGCGCCAGAAACTCCGGCATCGTGGCTGTCGAAAGCGGGGTCCACTTCCTCCCCACAACGCAGCAGCGTTCAGCCACTCCGAGACGCGGCCCAACTGCGCACACGTTGACAATCTTCTTTTGCAAACTACCACCCCCTCGTGGTAACTATTTTCCTTAACTTAATAACCCATAGCATTGGCTGTACTTCGCCCTCTGTTGGTCGTAAAAGAGCCTTCCGAGGACCGCCTGTCTTGCTTCCTCTTCGCCTTAGTTGGGAGTCGGTCGGTCACGTGATTTTGTGTGCGTCGTTAGCCGGGCAGCGTTCGCGTCTAAGTCACTAGCGCGCGTCTACCGTAACCCCCTCTCGTGTGCGTCTGTTCCGTGGGCTCAGCGTCTACCCGAATACATGCGGCTAGGATCGTTCTCACGCTCGCTCAATTTCCGTCTCACCATTGCGTACTCTGGGCTAAGCTAATGCCATCGGGTCAGCGCAAATCCGTTCGATTGACCATCGTTCCAATACGTTACCGTAAGCCTGCTCCAACCGTACCAGTGACAGTCTACGCAATCATACCAGGACTCTTCCCTGAAATAATCCTATCCGCCGATTTAGATGCCTTCTTTATCTCCAGCAATGCCTGCAAGCCGTGGAGCATTTCTATCATCACCTTCAGCCGGCTATAACCCTCCTTGTTCCACAACATAACCAATCGGTCATGTTCAAAAGATGCAGCCAAACGTTCGATCTGTCAGAAATCCAAAGAATAATCGCGGGTTACGGTGATACTACAGATGCACCGATTCATCGCTGAAATCAATCACTTCCAGTTGGTTGGGAAAACACACGAAGAGCAAGCAGCCCTACGAATGACATACAAATCAAACGAGCTTGTCAGAATTCTCCGTCGAACAACCAACAGCCACTCCTCATTGAACTGGTGGATGAGATCCAAGCGCCATCTGTGAAGCATTAAGCTCATTCTTCTCTACCTCCATGAACCTGGATACTGACCCTATAGGTACACACGTTAATATAAAAACGACTAAGGCTCTAGCTAACATTGATATCTCCGTTCGCAATATCCACAAGGAAATTAATTCTGTTCAGCGGTCCTCCATGCTGGAAGCTGATGGTGTTTCCCCATCCGCCATAAAACTGGGGGGGGGGCCTGATATGTCACTGCTCTTTTTGAATACGTTCGCCATTTCACTGTGATCGAACCGCTTTCCAGATTTTTGGAAAACTTCATTTGCCGAAAACACTATTCTTCGCAAAATTGTGTTCTTTAATTTCCATGGGTATTATTTAGGAGTTAAAAGCTTCATTGATCATCCATTGTCACAAGGGCGGCGCAAAACAGGTGACGGAAAATTACAGGCCAATCCTCCTATCATCCCCAGCTTATTCGAGAAATGGGTAAACAAAGGTGTGTCATCTCAGTTGTTGTGGAGTTCTCCGAGCTGGGCAATTTGGTTGCAGACGTTTCGCCACTATTTGAGGTGGCATCTTCAGTGCGGGATTGATAGCAGGTAAGTAGCAGTAGCTGGTAGAAAGCAAACCCAATAATGGATACTGCCAGCAACCACTCCGTTCCTTATATAGGCATACGGGGCTATTAATTTTGCCTCGTTCTCATTGGTGAATCCTTGTGTTCGGCGGTTGTGCTCGAGTCATTGTCATTGGCTGCGGAAATGTTGTTGCGACGTGGTTGGGATTATCGCACTCGGATTGGTGCAAGAGGTGTGGGTGAGTAGTCTGGGCTCATATTGACCATGCTGTTCATTGTCCGTGTGTTGGATTAGGTTCTTTCGGACAACGGTTGTTGATCCTCTTGAACTCTCTCTGTCTCAGCGGTTGATATATTGGATCGAGGTCGATATGCATGTTGATTGAGTTCGTGGTTGAGAACCAGGCTTCGAGAAACTCCCTCCCTTTTTGTGTTTCTCCTTCGGTCAAGATCTCTACCTTGTTCCAGTCGAACCTGTGTCCCTCTTCATCCACGTGTGCTGAAACCAATGAGGTTGCGTAATGGTTCTTGCATGCTCTTTGGTGTTCATGTATCCTGGTGCACAGCTTTCTTCCTGTTTGTCCCACATAGTGCTTTTCACAGTTTGCGCAGTTTATTCTATATACGACATTCCGTCGTTCTAGTGTCTCTCGCTTTCCTTTTGGTTTTGACAATGTTTTCCTCAGGGTGGCGGTTGGCTTGTGGGCTACCATGATATGATGTTGTTTGAACAATCTGGCAGTCATTTCAGACACGTTCTTTATGTATGGCAGAACTATACGTTTCGTCATAGCTGACGTAGGTTCGGTTTTTGAGGGCTTGCGGTTTAAGCATCTTCGGAGGAAACTGCGTGGGTATCCATTGCGTTCAAATGACTTAAATAAGTGTTTTTCTTCTGCTCTTTTCGCTTCTGTCCTACTGCAGTGAGTTGCTATTCTATGGAACAGTGTCTGCACACAGCTTATTTTGTGACATCTTGGGTGGTTGCTGTTGCAATTCAAAATCTGATCGGTGTGCGTGCTTTTTCTGTAAACTGAGGTTTGCAATTTGCCGTCCATTGTTCTGGCTACTAACACATCCAAGAAAGGAAGTTTGTTTTCCTTCTCTGATTCCATGGTAAACTGTATGCCGTCCATAGCGTTGTTAAGCAGTTGTTGTGCCACCGATACTTGACTACGTTTGAGTATCACAAACGTATCATCGACGTAACGAACTCAAAGTTTCGGATTAATCATTGGTAGTAGATCCTCTTCCAATTTTTGCATGACAATCTCTGCGATGAGTCCGGATACAGGTGATCCCATCGGTGCACCTTTCACTTGTTTATACATTTTTCCGTTGAACGCGAAGTAAGTTGAGAGACATAAGTTGAGAAGTTCGCATACGCTGCTGGTCGTCATGTTCCCAATCTTCCCTCCGCTGTTGTCCAGACGTTCTGCGATAATTTCTTTGGCCAGCTGTAAGTTGACGGAAGTGAATAGGGCTGTCACATCGAAGGACACCATGGTTTCGTCGTGTTCTATTCGTAGGTCTTTGAGCTTTGTCAAGAATTGTTGAGCATTGTTTATGGAGTGTTGCGATTTACTGATTAGGCGCCTCCATAGTTCCTTTGCCAGGTAGTAGGTGGGCGTGACTGGAAGTTGCCCAGCTCGGAGAACTCCACAACAACTGAGCAAGCCTCCCGACCTACCAATATTCCAAATCATTTCGAACACCTACGGGCGCTCAACGCTCCGCACTGCTCGTCGTTGGGAGGATTTCGCTTGCCGAAATGCTTCCACACGGCAACAGCTCTACTTCCTCCATGAATGCTTGCGAAGAGACATTCTTCCTCGCAGTGTCAACTGTAGACTACCGATGAACCATCCACAGGCATGGACGGTTGCGCGACAATTCGGAAAGCGTATGGTACGAATGATGATCACAGACGCCCACAACCGTATCCGAAAATATGAACGTTGTCTAAACGAACATCGAATCAATTGTTTACAAACAATTGGACAACAACTGACTGAACAAGTGCAACTCGCAATAGAGCGCAGAGCTGAAAATACGAAAGCAAAAAAGCAGACTGCGCTTCACCAGGAGTTGACCAAACTGACAACCAGCACAGAGGAATGCATCAACAATGGTTGGATCAGGAACCTGTCAACACGCCCACTCAGTGGCAAGGAACAACAAATTCTCATCAAAGACCTGAATTGTAGCTCTAAAGACGCGACAACTACGGATTTTCTGGCACGATTTAAAAAGCGCTTTGCAGTCCAACGGACTAGATGAGGAAACACAGAAACAAAGCAGATACACAGTCGTCCCAGCCATGACGCATTTAAAGCAATGCAACCCTCTATCCCGACAAGAGAAAGAAGCAATAAAAGCTCTGAAGTCGGACGAATCATTTGTTATCCTACCTGCTGATAAAGGACGGATGACAGTAATTATGGACAAAGCAGATTACACCGAGAAAGCGGAGCAGCTCCTGAACGATACTACAACCTACCAGTGCATTGAGAATGACCCAACGTCGCAACTAACCAACAAAGTAAACAGAGTGTTGGCGAAGCTTAAGCAGTCGAACGAAATATCGGAAGAGGAACGAGAAAAAATGAGGGCTCGCGACTCGAACATTGCACAATTCTATGGACTACCTAAAGTACACAAGGATGGAGCACCCTTAAGACCAATTGTGTCACTTCCAGGCACGCCCACCTACTACCTGGCAAAGGAACTATGGAGGCGCCTCAAGCGCCTAATCAGTAAATCGCAACACTCCATAAACAATGCTCAACAATTCTTGACAAAGCTCAAAGACCTACGAATAGAACACGACGAAACCATGGTGTCCTTCGATGTGACAACCCTATTCACTTCCGTCAACTTACAGCTGGCCAAAGAAATTATCGCAGAACGTCTGGACAACA